CTCCTCTGACGTGCGTCAGAAAACGCACTTCCCACCATGCAAGCACGCAGCGCCTACTAAACTGGATTTCTGCGACGCACAGACGGGAAGGCTGACGGCAGCTGCCTCAGAGGAACCTCTGAACTGATGGGGAAGGAATGTTCTCCTCTCGAAACAAATGGTTCGACCCAAATCGATTTTCCCACCCCCGCCCCCATTTTTCGGAATTGTCAGCCATCTGAAAACTCTGTTCTTTGCCCAGCTCTAGGGGTGACACAGGAATTGCGTCTGCCATTTGCATCTCATGGGATCTTTGCTGAGCATCGCTTCCCGGCTCTCCGAGCTCTGGTCAAGTGAAAAAATTCTTTATTTATTGCTTGCACGGCAGTAACACTTACGAGCCTGAGACACGGACCAGACCCTACCGTGCTAGGTGCTGTACAGACAACAGAAAGAAGGAGTGAGGGGTGGGAGGAATGAAGACACTGGTGCCCTCTCTTGGCTATTCTCATAGTAGGCCAAACACTCACCTGCGCTGGCTGGCCTCTGCGGCAAACCCGGCGACACGGTGTTTCTCTGCAGGGCCGGCTGCTGTGGTGAGAGGAGTCTTGGATCCGTCAACGAAGAGGTCACCAGCGACTGGGTCACCAAGGAGCCCCCGGGGTTGCTGAACTGTAACGTGTTTTGATTGGTCACCGGAACTGTCACTGGCATGGCGAAGTTCGGAGCGGGCACTGCAGACTGAACAGAGAGGCAGATGAAAGCGGGGACCGGCGCCGAGGGAGTCACCCAAAGGCACTTCGCTCCGCCAAGGAGCCGGTTTCTGTCTGGTTCACGGCGCGACCAACGGGCCAGGTCCTCGGCCCGGAATGCAGCGACACTGATTTATACCAGCTACGGATCTGGTCCAAATTTGCACCCAGTTCATTATTGCCCTGCAATGTGTACGGTCGTTTATAACAGTGCAAATTGGGGGAAAGCGAGCACCATTCTCATTTGCGAGCCACTTTACACGGGTGAAAATGGTGGCGGGCAGTGGGGAATCTGGCCCCAGGCACAAAGGGGCATGGATTCCCTCTAGGAAGACGGAGAAAGAAGGGCAAACGGATGTCCATCTGGGCACATTGAAGCTAAAAAGCATTGCAAACTGCTGCCTGGGGGGAAGAGGGGTGTTGACTAAACACCTGCATTTATTTACCTCCAGAGCTCAGCAAAGTGGTTTTAAAACAGCTCACAGAGAGTTGGAAACGTCTCAAAGCGGCTCCCTTGGCATGCCAGAGAGGGGAACAGTGCAGTGGTCTTAGCATGAGACGCTCTGAAGCCACAGGAGACAAGGGCCAGCAGCTGCCCTTCAACCTCCGAGGGAGATAAACGGAGCCGCGTGGAGTTTTAATAGACCAGGTCCTCCGCTGGTGTGAGTGGCCAGGGCTCTTCTGAAGTCAGTGGAGCTACGCTGCGGATCCGGCTGAGTCTCTCTCAGTGAAAAGATCCTGTAGATTCTGCACAGAAGTGTAAGATCCCAGGGCCCTACTCGCAGCTACTATCTGTAATCCTGTATCACCCAGAGGCTCCAATCGGGATTGTGTGAGGCTCTGGACGGACACACAGACCCAGCCCTGAAGAGCTTGCTCTTCTCTCCATATTAGTATGAAGTTTGATAGCCCCTGTGCTCATTCTCGGGGGAGCATGGTCTTGGGGTTACCTACCCTCGGACTCTGGGGCATTCCCACCTCTGCCACAGACCCTATGAAAGACCTTAGGCAAGTCACTTAATCCCTCTGTGTCTCAATTCCCCACCCCTTCAATGTGGATAATAATACTTCCTTTGTCTAATCAGGTCGTAAACTCTACAAGGCAGTGACCATCTTTTACTAGGTGTATGTACAATGGGGTCCTGCCTGCAGCGCAAAAGGCCCCAATTATTATTCATGCTCTGTACGGAGCTAGTGCCTCGGAGTCCCGGACCTGGATCCCGTGGCGCTAGGTGCTGTACAAACACAGAACAAAAAGACGGTCCCTGCTCCACACAGCTGACCTCAACCGGAGCCTCTAGGTGGCTACTGTAATAGAAAGTGACAGATCGGAGCATTTCCAAGGTGCAGCTTTGCTCCAGAGAAGCACCCTGTAGATGGCTCCTATCGATTCGTGGAGCTGCTGGGGTGCCAGTCAATGGAAAGACCTGGGGCTCTGACCCTCAAGCAGTGGAAACCCCTCTAATCCATGATCCTTGGCCCCTGGCTCAAGGGACAGATCCACCAGCGCTTCCCGGCCTTTTGGTGTCGCCGAGATGTCATTACAAAAGCGCTGCTGGGCAAATGCAGCTTTGTATGATTGCAGGAGAGGAAGAACGAGCGCGTGGGAGAGGATGGCAGAGCCGCGCCTCTGTCCTCCCAGGGGCTCCTGGCTGGGAAAGCCGCCTCTCTACCTATCATCCCCCACCCCCTTCACAGATCTCCAGGGCATCCAGCCGTTTCAGGCAGCAGGCAGGTGCTAAGGACCACTCCCTGCTCGTGGCTTCTGCTGCCGTAAGTCACTTTGACTTGAGCCTTAGGACTGTAAGCTCTGCAAGACAAGAGACTTTATGAGCCAGATTCTCCTCGACACTAAGGCCCCTTCACATGGCTCTGGCGTAGCTCTAGGGCCACTTTAAGGGCTCTCCCTCGCCCCCCACCCAGACAGCCAACGCGGCACAGAGGATACTCAAGGCTGGTCTACGCTACAGAGTTAGGCCGGCTTGACGACAATGCTCCAGGCTGTGAAAAATGTACAGACGTAATTAAGCCGACCTAAGCCACAGTGTAGACACAGCTAGGGCCAGGTCTACACTTACAAGCTTACAGCTGTCCTGATACAGCTGTGCCGCTGTCAGAGCGCTTGTGTAGCCGCGTGACGCCACCGGGAGACAGCTCTCCCGTGGACACGATGAAACCAAGTCAACGAGCGGCAGCAGCTATGTCTGCGGGAGAGCATCTCCTGCCGACGTAGCGCTGTACACAAGAGAGTTCACGCCGGCAAAACTTATGTCGCTCAGGAGGGGTGCTTTTTTCACATCCCCGAGAGACAAAAGTTTTGCCGATGTAAGCGCTAGTTGAGACATAGCCTAAGTTGATGAAAGAACTCTTCTGTCGACCTCGCTACTGCCTCTTAGACCCCGTCTCCACTACAAAACTACGTCGACCTAACTTCCGTCGGCATACGGCCCCCACAGTTATTAAATCGCTTGTGCGTGCGCACGCTTGGCTCCTTGCGTCGGCGGCGCACGTCCTCACCAAAGCGCTTGTGTCGATTGCATTGTCGGGGTGCGGCATTGTGGGATGGCTGCTGAAAGCCAGTAATAGTCCACAAAAGCAATGGAGCGTCTGCACTGACACTGCGTCGTCCTAATTACATCGACCGTGACTCGACGCCGTTCGGGGAGCTGGTGTTACGAAATCGGCGTAGAGAGGCGTTTACGTGGGCAGGAGCGAAATGTACATAAAGACACTTGCACAGCTAGGTCGACGCAGGGCAGCTTACGTCGACCCAACCCTGCCAGGCCTCAGAGAGATGGCTACAGTACAGCAACAGAAGAAATCCTTCCGTTGTTCTGTAGGAAGTGTCTACACGACATCGATGCAGCTACAGTGGCATTGCTAGTGTAGACACGCCCCTACTGTCAGTGAGAATCAGGCCCTTAAATGTTTGGCTGTGCACATCTGCAATGCAATATTGCATAATAAATAACAAGACAGACAGACAGAAAGAAAGAAACTAACTAACTTAGGGCATAGTTCTACCCCAGATGCACGTGTGAAGCCCGCTGACGTAAGTGAGAGTTACATGAATGGATTGGAGGACAGGATTCGGCCCTTAGCACCTTTGAACCACTAACCGACCAATCTTCCCCATGCTCCTGCCCAGGCGGGGAGGGAGTTGTGCACACGCAAATGATCCCTCAACCAGCAGCTCCCATTCTCCCCACTGATTACAGAGCGCTGGGCGCTACAGTGTTATGGCAGGCAAAGGTTTGAAATGAACACAACACTCCAAAATCCAGTGGGGGATCGGGGAGGTTCATTAATCAGCCAAACGCCAATAACTTTTTTTTTTTTTCTTGAAAGCCAGTTTCAAATGCACTCAGAATGCAGAACCCTGTTAAGGCCAGTTTCTCTGGACCAGGGCGTCATTAGCTTCCCCGGCAGATGAGTTGTGTTAGTTCTCATTATCACACAAAAAGCTGGTTAAAAAGAAAAGCATCTGCTCCAACAATCCACTATTCAATCCTGTTGCAAGAGAGGTGTAGTCAAGGAGGCAGATGTTATGCTTTGGCTACTAATCAACCTGCTTCTGGGAGGCTACGCACTGCAAGATTTTGGAAGCAGGGACTTTCCTTCTTTTATAAGTGTTCACAGCGCCTAGCATCATGGGGCCCTGGTCCCAGGCTGCAGCCTGAAGTTGCTACTATAATGCAAATAATAAAAAGATTCATAGGTTGATAGCACCCCGTTTTCCCATTCGCCTGCCCTTGTGTAACTGTCTGCCCCAGGGCAAAGCGAGTGCTGAATGCTACACACTCATCTGGCAGCGTTTTACACTACGAGCGTGTCTACAATGGAAAGTGAATGCAGATTCACGGAGGGTGTGACTTTAAAGGGCCACAGCTGTAACTGAATAACTCCGTGTGTAGACGTTCTGAATCCGGAATAAGAGGGCTGTATTCTGTGGTTAGTTCAACCCACTTTCCGAGGGAGCTAAGCTAAACAGAAAGCAGGCACTCTTATTCCAGAACACAAGCGTGTCAACACATGGGAGTTATTTAGGAACCACTCCTTAAGTAGATAAGCCCTAAAACCCGTTTTACCCCACTGTGGGGGTATAAAGCGAATGAGACTCACGTAAAGGGCCCTTTATGCTGCCAGAGGGGTGGCACGGGGAAAATGAGCATCCGACCCACAATCTCTTACTGGCAGAGTCAGCCAAAAAAAACCCCACCTCTGGCTTTTGCAAGAGTGAAGTCTTAAGAAAATTAAAAATGAGCTTCTGTGGCCTTGAAAACTGCAGCAGGAAACAGGTGGGGTATTTTTTTTATCCTGCGTCCAGCGCTTGGAAAGCGCCTCCCTTTCTACTCCTGCAACGTTAGTTAATTACGGCTGCCCGAGTTGGAAGGCTAATCTCCCTGAAGATGGCTTGCCTGCCTCAAAAGTCTTTGCTCCCTTGAACTAACAACTAATTTGCAATGCCCCTCTTCCCTCCCTCGACACAAATCCCTTTCATCGCTGTCCTGATGCCACCCCAGGGCCGTCGTCTCAGGCTAAAACCACCCTGGATTTCTGCCACATCCCTAGCTGCGCCGGGAGCCTTATGGGTTCGCCTGGATTGAAAGCAGAGTGGCCCCAGAGTGGATCTGATCCCAAAGCGGGTGCAACTGTCATCACCTGACCCTCCCTTTCCCCGCCGTGGCTCATATACCGAGGTTCTGAACTCAAGCAAAACTCCCGCTGAAGTTCAGAGGAGTTTGCTGGAGTAAAAAGAACCTCAGGGTTTGACTCAGTATTAATAGCAATGGGACCGATTTTTAAGGTCCTCGGTCTTAACATTTCCAACGTGGGGGCTCAAAGTCAGACAGCGAAGCCCAATGTGTTTAGGCGCCTAACTCCCTTCAAAACCGATGGGCAGGGCCGGCTCCAGGCACCAGCTTAACAAGCAGGTGCTTGGGGCGGCCAAGGGAGAGGGGCGGCACCTGTGGCAATTCGGGGCGGCAGGTCCCTCACTCCCTCTAGGAGCGAAGGACCTGCCGCTGAACTGCTGCCGCCGATCGCAATTTTTTTTTGCTTGGGGCGGCAGAAATGCTGGAGCCGGCCCTGCCGATGGGAATCAGGCACCTAAATCTAGCTGAGGATTTGCGCCCTCGGGCCGGAGTCTCATTTACATGAAGGGCGTCTCTGCAGCATTGATCAGTAAGCAGCACAACCCCCCAAGTGCAGCTGCAGTTACAGTGCTTGTGTCTTATTCTTGCATGGGCAGGGGAATAAGCGATGCTGGCGAAAGGCACTTTTCTAACTGCAGCCGCAGTTGGTCCAGGGGCTGGACTGGTATAATGATTTCGGTAAACGGTGATCCCCATCCCCCAAACAAAAACAATCATACCCCTAAAACTTTTAAGTGCAGAACAAGCCTGAGAATTCTTTACACCACTCTGACAGCGTAAAGGGGTCTTAAGGTGGGTAATTTATACCCATTTTAAGGCCAGAATGGTGCAACTGAGACTCAGGCCTTGTATAGGAGGGAACAACCATAATGTGTTGTGTTCTAGGCCAGAAGAGGAGATTAAGATGGGTACAGGGATGTTCCGCCAGCTCCATACCTGCTGGAGGGAGGCATTTCCACCCACTTTAACACCTCTTTTATGCTGGTAGAGCGACCGAAAGGGGCCTCGGCATCACCAAGTCCTGTTTCTAACCATTAGACCATGCTGCCTCCCAGACGTTCCCTAGCCCTGGGTTTGCTACGCCCGATGGGAGCAAACGAACAAGGCAGAGCAAGGCTCCGTAAGCAAAGCCATGCAAAGGCGTCACTCCCGCCGCTCTGCATTCTATGTTGCTAGGGGTCCAGGGCAGGATGTGCAGGCCACCGGCTACTCACTGCGAGCCTGTAACTCTGCATCATTTTATCAAACTCCTCATCAATCTTTTTATATTTCTCCTCCGTCTGCGGGGTCAGCGCAAACACCTCGTCCCCTTCTGGGCTCTCGCATCCCCTGTGCTTCTTGTTCAGCGCCTGTTACGTTGAGAGGGCAGGGGAGGTGGCGGGGACGGGGGTAGGATTGGGAAGAAATCGAACAAAAGAAAAAAAGAAAAACATAATGAAGGATTTCTGGCCAGAGGGGCGCAGTACTTACACCATATCGTTTGAAGAGGATATCCAGATCCTCGCTGGCTTTGCGGTATTTATCCTCCATCAGGGGGCTCTGGTCAATGGAGTCGTCTCCGTCCGGTTCCGGGCTGTCGCAACCGTTAAAACCTTTCTTTCTTAATGTCTGAAAACACAACCAGGACAGGTTGAGATCTGGAGCAGGAGGGGTACGTTGGAGAAGGGAGAGCTGGCGGGGTGTTGGATGCAGGGGTGTGACGGATGGAGATGGCGGGAGCTTGTTTAAAACGTCGTCGCTAGCTTCCCAATAGAGCTGGTTTGGAAATGGGGCGGCGGCGGGGGGCAACGTGGCTGAAACATGGGGGAAATTTACTGGAAATTTGGGGAGCATATCAATATTTCAAAAACCAAATAGGTGAAAACATCCACAAAGCGTAAAGGGGTCAAGAAAGGAATCCCAAATTGAAAATATTTGAAGAAAATGAATAATTTCAAAAACAATCTTCAAAACATTAAAAAAACTGGGCGGGGGGAAGCGTTAAAATGTCTATTTCTATTTCAAAAAAATCACCCAAAATTCAACCAGCTCCGCTTCCCAGTTACAAAGAAAAAGCCTACCAGGCCGGATCCTCATTTACCCCGGGACTCCTCCACATTGCGTTAGTGGGATGGAGCTGTGGTGACACCGCTGGGCCTATTATGATAATTGTAGCTCTTCTATCAGGGGGTAGCCATGTTAGTCTGTATCTACAAAAACAACAAGGAGTCTGGTGGCACCTTAAAGACTAACAGATTTATTTGGGCAGAAGCTTTCGTGGGTAAAAACCTCACTTCTTCGGATGCCTATAGAGTGAAAGTAGCTCTTCTGGCTTCATCCTTATGAGCTCAAAGCTCGGCTTCTCCACAGACTCGTTACGTGATCATGGGCAAATCCCAGAGGCCGGGGTTCTTCTTTCAAGTGGGTGTATATGTAATTAATTCCCATTTTAAGGGCCCTTTACGCTGCCGAAGGGATGTAAATGAGAATCAGGCTGGTAGTATTTAATAGACAATGGGTCTTTGGAACCCTCCTATAGAACTGAAGAGAGTTTTATAAACTAATAGAAACGCACGTTAACCCATGGAACTCACAGCCACAAGAGACCACTGAGATTAGCAGGAGTCAGAAAGATTCAATTATGGGCCTTGCTCTCATTTGTAATAAGGATCTAGCCCATAGGGTCTGGTTAGGATTGTGCCTCTATTTTGGAAGAGAATATGACCCTATGACAGTGCAAGTGGGTGGAACGCCATTGACTTCAAAGGATCTATTTACATCAGGAATGTGTTTGGCCCTGTGCCAGCTCAGACACATAACCTATTCTCTCACCATTATAATGATTGGGGGGGGGCAGGCAGGGGGGAACCCTAATGATATTTACTCTCCTATTAAAATATTTCCTCTCCTATTAAAAGACAAAAATATTACTTGCCCCGAGCAAAATGGGCGGGTGGAATTCTGCAAGATGGTTTTAAACAGATGTAAGGGGTTTGGGGCAATGTACAATGGAACGTGCCAAGACCAACACGGCAGAACTGTATTAAAGAAGTAGGTTGTGTCTGCACCAATAGATGATGTATACTTTGTATGGCAATGACCTTCTTTAACTTAAAAAATAAACAAGCACACATTTTTCATTGGCCGGCTGCCAAATTCACCTTTGGCATAAGCGGAGTTACAGCTCGGTTGAAATCAGGGGGTCGGGTTCTGATTTCACTTACAGTTGTGTAAATCCGAAGCAACACAACTTTTCACACTACTCTGCTCATGTAAAGGGGCCTGAAAATGGGACGTATTGCCACGCAGGGGCAGATGCAGGCCTGGGTTACACTTAAAAGTGTTACCAATAAAACGATTTCAGTTCAGAGGGTGATTTATTTTACTCAAATAGACACCAGTAAAGGCCCTATTGTGAACGGTTCTACTGCTGGAAAGGTGACTTAGATCTGGTCTACATTTCAAATTTAGGTCGACGTAGCTGCACTGCTCAGGGCCCCCAACCACCATAGCTGTGCCCATCTAGTTCCCAGTGTAGATGCAGCTAGGTCAAAGGAAGAGAGGTTCTATCAACCCTTTCCATCGGTGTAGGCTGTGTCTACACTATGGAGCTGTAGCTATGCCATTATAGTCCCTGGCGTGTAGACCAGTGGTTCTCAAACTAGGGCTGCTGCTTCTTCAGGGAAAGCCCTTGGCGGGCCGAGCCGGTTTGTTTACCTGAAGTGTCTGCAGGTTCGGCCGATCGCGGCTCCCACTGGCCGCGGTTCGCCGCTCCAGGCCAATGGGGGCGGCGGGAAGGGTGCCCAGCACGTCCCTTGGCCCGCGCCGCTTCCTGCAGCCCTCATTGGCCTGGAGCGGCGAACCGTGGCCAGTGGGAGCCACGATCGGCCGAACCTGCGGACGCGGCAGGTAAACAAACCGGCCTGGCCCGCCAGGGGCTTTCCCTGAACAAATGGCGGCCCTAGATTGAGAACCACTGGTGTAGATAAAGCCATACCAATGGTGACGTAGCTTGGCCGGTATAATCCCTATAGTGCAGGCATATAGCTATACCAATATAAACACCTTTGTGCCAATATTTTGGCAGCCACACTAGGAAGATTGTATCACTTTAACGACACCGGTATCGTTAAAGCAGTACGGTTTTGTTTACACTACAGACGTCTGCCCGCACAATGATGGCTGTCAGGGGTGCGAAGAGGCGTGATCCCCGCGCAATATAGTTAGGTTGACCTAACCCCCTGTGTAGACATGGCAAAATTCTTCCCTCGACCTAGCTACCGCCCCTCGGAGAGGTGGAGTGACTGCGTTGACGGGAAAACCCCTTCCGTTGATGTCGGAAGCACCCACACGACGACGCTACAGCTGCGGTGCCAGAGGTGTGCCTCTGTGGTGGAGAGATACCCTCGGTTATACTGGCAAAGAGGTGCTTTTACTAGTAGAGCTGGTTTCATTTTGGGGAGGGGGGAGTTAACAAGCTATACCAGTAGAATGTAACTTTGCAGAGAGAAGCTGCTTCCACACGAGGATCGCTTTGCTGGTGCAGTATGCCGGTAAAACACTCCTCGTGTAAACATGACCTAAAACTATCTAGTGTGGACAAGCCCTTAGCAGAGGAGAGAATGCAGGCCAAGGAGTTTGTAGCAGAGCCAGGAACTAAATCTGGAGTTTGATTGCAGCTCCTTCACTGCAAGACCATCTTTGTACTCTGAAGGAAGTCCCATTAATTGGAAACACAGACATTCCATGTGTAGGCTGTGCACAGCGTACAGTAAGAATCCTTCAGAGAGTTTGGACAAAAAGTTCCTGTCTCGTGTTCAGTAGCCAATTTACAGATTGCATTACACACACGCATATAATCATTTTATTTTCAAAATACCAGAAGCAATTAGGCATTATTATGGAACCAGCACTTGCCAGTTTTTGGGGTTTTTTTTTAAAAAGTCAAAGCAACATATAATTTCCTGGAAGTCTTGATCTCTTTTCATGCCAAACTTGAAGGAGAAAAAAAATGCCTTGACAATTCTCCTCTCGTCTTCCCAAACACAGATAAACATATCTGCTTCTAGGCCAAATTTTATCTCAAAGAGGTGCCTTACCTACACTGAGCACTGGGAAATATGGGTTTATAATGGAATTGACGCAGCAACAGCGGATGTCTCTCTCACTTAAGATTCTAAGGTCCTTGGGGCAGGGACTGGCTTTTTGTTCTGTGTTTGTACAGCACCTAACACATTGGGGTTCTGGTCCATTTCTGGAGCTCAGAGGTGCTACTGCAAGAAATTGCTAATGTGCTTTGAGATCTACTGATGAAAAGGTGTTATATACGAGCTAGGTCTTATCATTATTTAATAATATGATGTAACATTTCCTTTATTGTATACAGCTGGTCAAAATTATGGGGAAACCGATTTTATGACATATTTCGAAGCGGCTTCTGTTTTATAGTGTTTGAAATGCACCCATTTCCCTTCCGCTCTTTCGCCAATTTTTTTTTTAAAAAGCAGTATTTGTTCCCAATGTTTTAATTGAAATCATTTTCAAAACTGTTTGGGTTTTCAAGTAAGCAAACCATTCTGCTAACAATTTCGATTATAAAATGCGATGGAAAATTTGGCAAAAAAAACCAGAAATTTTCAGTCATACATTTCTCGTGGCAAGACACATTGCCAAAAAGCGCGTGCGCGCACACACACAAAGACACACACAAACCTTTTTTTGTGCATAAAAATTTCAATCATCTCTAATAATCCTTTGGCTGAATGAAAGTGAACTCAGTTTCCGTGCTAACTTATTTCAAATCATAGGGGGCATGCTGGTTTGTTATTGTAGGGTGATCCATGAGCCTGGAGTGCATCGACTAGTTAATTATTACACAAGTGCAGTAACTGTGCACCAGGGCTTGTCACTGTGAGTTGTTGCCCGTTCCATTCTGCTTTTATATAATGCTCATCACTGTAGTATCTGGCTTGTTGATGGCACATGAATGGAGGGCTGATTATTGCCTGGTTGCCATCAGTTTTATAATAATTAATTATTACGTTACTATTATTTTGAACATTAAAGGGCTGTAAAGTACTTTCTTCCCTCTTTCCCGCAATGTAAACACATACAACACACACTAACACATGCTGTCATTTGCAAAATGTAACACATTTTGCAGCGCTCGTATGATCTTGTGTTGCCCAAGCTACATCTTTGCAAGACAGGAGAAGGCTCCTCGGTCTGGGCCCAACAACAATATTAAAGACAGAGACAGGGCTTGGAGTCTGAGGCGTGGGAGCGGAACTGAAGGAAGTGAGTCAGGTTTCAGGAGGGACCTAGTTTGATGTGACGTCTAGCGGCTCTGGAGTGCAACCTGATAGCCAGGCTGGGCCTCTCTGCACATTCAATAAAGATCTCTTTCCTACAACTCTAACCGCCTGCTGCATCAGCGATTGCTCGTGAAACAGGGCCTCTCATAAGCTTCGGATCCCAATGCCTTGGCATTAGGGTTGCCAACATTTGGTTGGCTGAATTCCTGGAGGTTTCATCACATGACATTATCTTTAATTAAAGATCAGTCCATGGAGGACAGGCCCAACAATGACTATTAGCAAGATGGTCACGGGACGCAACCCCGTGCTCTG